TCGAAGACAATAACAACAACAAAGTAATACCCATATGATTGATTGGTGTACTTGTAAATATTCTGTTTCATCCCATAAAGTATTTGAAGCTAAGAGATCCATTTTGTGTACATTACTGACTGGACAAATTTTGTTTAGGTTAGGGATTTTCTAAATATTTTAATATGAGTTGAAAATATATCTTTTGTTACTACTTTAAAATAATCCTGTAGTGGGTAAACGCACCCTGCAAGACTGAAACTCAAAGGGAACACAGGAGCAGGCATGTAACTTTGCTGGCAATTACATTGATCTACTGGTGAGTGGAACAGGGAGAATGGCAGCAATTGAAGATATGGGCTGAGTTCACCCACATTCCATAGACTCCCACTTACCTGAAGATGAGAGTGAGAAGAGGAAGGGCTGGTTGGTCCAAAGTGTGATGAGACCTTGGAACTCCTGAGCCCATGAACAAAGACATAGCCACCAAGGGCTAGAGCTGAGAGTGAAGCTTCCAGCTGATATGAAGTGAGGGAAGATGCCCATGAACACCCAAATTTGCAGATAGTACCTATTCAACCTAGCCTTGATGGCTCAATTATCAGAACTCCACTAGAAGAAGATAAAAAAAAAATTTTTTTGATAAAGGAAATAAGTGTAAATTGCCACAATTTGATGAACTTCACCTATACTTATGAATATAGTTGCTCAAAATACCAACTGAGAGGGAAGGAGTCTTCACATCAAGTATCAATCCTATCCCCTCTGTATTCAGGGTTGTAAGGTATGGGCAATTTAGACATTAGCTACCTAAAATGAGGGGGTGATAAAGGCACGAAGTGACTGGCTTGCAAGTTTTCAAAAGAGAGTTTACTTTAAGAGTGTGTGGTGAAAGGTAGAGTCCCCACTGAATAGTTTTCATCTTGTCTAGACAGGTCTGGTGAAAAGAGATGAGGATAAGATTCTATGATTTGACAAATTACAACTGTCACAAATGTAAAGGTAGAAGTTTTGCTACAAAAAGGGAGGAGTAGTTAATCTTAAATTCTAGGAACAGAGGACCCTAGGACCATCAAGGGAGAAGAGCACAAGCGGAATGTGGTACCCTATCCAGAGAGGCATTGACACCAGAGATGGAGGCAAAGATGAAGATAGGAAAGAGAGAGCAGCTGAGGACTGTAGACTCTTGGAAAGAGAAAGACTGAGTGCTGGTGGCCAGGTGGCAGGCTTACAGAATGTGCCCTTTGGTTGTTTAAATAATTATATATTCCTGAATGTTTTTGTGTACCTCCCCCAACCCCCAAAACAAAAAAACAAACAGAGGGAATGGAAGCAAATACTGTTGAATGATGATGCTTGGAGGAGATTGTAATCATTGCAATGAAACGATAATTGTAAAACTGATGTTCTCCCATGTAAACTATCACTCAATTCACAATAAAAACTTTAAAACAAAATCCTGTAGCATTGTCAAAAATATTTATAACTATTCTTCTTATTATTATATTTAAAAATATTAGGTATTTCCATGTTGTTTTTTGGTTTTATTCCATTGTGCTTTTACTATACCATGGACTCTAGTACCTTTCAAAAGGCATGTGGCCCAAGACTCCTCATGTTGTTGGTAAATGCTGTCAAGTAGGTTCCAACTCATAGCAACTCTGTGTAGGGTTTCCAAGGTGATAAATCTTTACAGAAGCAGATAGCTTCATCTTTTTCCCATGGAGCAGCTGGTGGGCTCAAACTGTTGACTCTATGGTTCCCAGTCCAGTGCTTACCTTATGGAGTCATTGTGCTCCATAAGACTCCTTATAGAAACTACTGTAATATGAACTCTTCCTTATTTTTTAACTTTTTATTGTGAATTGAAGCAAGATTTACAGAGCAAATCATCAGTTTTACAGTCAACAATTCGTTCACATTTTGTTTCTTCTTACTGATTTAATATCATTTACCCCAACTTCTTCCCTGTGTTTCCTAATTCTGTTCCATTTACTCAAGAACCAGTCCTTATTTTCCAATAGATCTAAAATTTCTATTTTCTGACCCTAAGAACCATCATTTTCTTGAGGCTGCTTTACTTTGACCATTGGATCGAATGATTAATTAACTTTATGAGAAAAGCTGTATTTTAATTTTTTTAAAAAGTTAATTTTTTACTGTATTCATTCAAGAATGTTGGAATTCCTCAGTTCTTCCTTCTTTAAAAGGACAGGATAAAGGCTAAAAGCTAACATTTCATGCTTGCTAGGAGCAAAAAGTATTCAAAATACTTACTGATAAAGATCAAAGACCACAGCCTTAAATAAGGGTTGCACCTCAGTGTAAAGAAAACAAAAATCCTCACTACTGGGCCAATAAATAACAGCATGATAAATGAAAAAAAGATTGAAGTTATCAAAGAGTTCATTTTGCTTGGATCCGCAATCAATACTCATGGAAGCAGCAGTCTAGAAATCAAATGATGTATTGCATTAGTCAAATTTGCTATACCACAAGACCTCTTTTAATTGTTCATGAGCAAAGAGATTCATTTGAGAACAAAGGTGCGCCTGACCCAAGCCCTGGTATTTTTAACTGCTTAATATGCTTGTGAAAGTTGGACAATGGATAGAGAAAACCATGGAAGAATCAGTGCATTTGAAGTGTGGTATTGGAGAAGAATATTTAAAATATCATGGACTGCCAGAAAAACAAACAAATCCGTGTTAGAGGAAGTACAGCCAGAATATTCCTTAGAAGCCAGGATGCCGAGACTTCATCTCTCATACTTAGGACATATAATCAGGAGGGACCTGTCATTAGGGAAGGACATCATACTTGGTCAAGTAGAGGGTAAATGAAAACGAGATCCCAATAAAATGGACTGACACCATGGCAGCAGCAATGGGCTCAGATAACAAATGTGAAGATAGCATAGGACTGGGCCGTGTTTCTTTCTATTGTGCATCGGGTCACTGTGAGTTGGCAACTAACAATAACAACAACATCAGTCAGGGATGTGATTTCATTTGAAGGTTATTTGGGGGAAGAATCTACTTCCCAGCTCACTCATGGGGTTGTTGGCATGCTTCATTTCTCACTGCCTGTTAGAAGCTCTTTTGTTCCTTACCACATGGGCCTCTCCACAGCACAGCTGCTGTGTGGCAGCTGGCTTCCATCACAGCAAGAGAAAACTAGCAAGACAGAGCCAGGATCTTTTTATAACCTAATCTCAGAAGTGGTATCTCATCACCTTTGCCCCATTTTCTTCATTTGAAACAAGTCATTAGGTCCTGCTCACACATAAGGCGAGACTATAGGAGTCCTGGTGTGGCGCTGTAGGTTAATGCGCCAGACTGCAAAAAGCCATTTGAACTGCAAGGTCGGTGGTTCAAACTCACCAGCTGCTTCTCAGAAACCCTATACAGGGTCACTATGGGTTGGAATCAACTCGACAGCATTTAACAACAACATACTGGGTATAAATGTCAGGACATGTGCATCGCTGGAAACCATCTTAGGAGCTATATAATCTTTGGCTTCTATTTGCATATGATGATGAATCCATGCATTTACTAGGTTCGAAAATTGGAAGAGAGTGTACAGAACACACAAATGAAATAATATTTACATAACACATTTAATAAGATCTTCATGCCCTTTTAATTTACTGAGACTTGAAGGAAATTTTATGAGCTTAACTTATGCACACCAGCCAGGTTGTTATTTCTATATGAATGTACCCGTTGTTCATAAGAAGTGTAATGGCATGTGAGATCTTTGGAGGGATTCTTTGCAATTGAAGCACATCTAATTTATAAATGATCATGTGCCTTTTTTCCTAGGTTTGATAGTCAGTGTTCATGAGATACATGAAATGAAATAAATAAGTTCATTTTGCCTTAGATTAATTCTTAGATCTGAGTTTTTCCTTTGCTTTTTAGTGTATTTTTGGAATTATGGAGAAGAGGTGCTATCGCTTCCTCTCCCGGTGGAGTAAATATGAATAATACTATTTTAGGGCTCCATGAGTAATCATACATGCAAACACATAGATAAAGAAAAATCCTTCTATCTTACTGGTATTGGGGGGTGGGTGCTGTGAAGAGTGGTTGCAATATCTCCTGCTTGTATTGAAGATGGAAATCTTTGAACCTTTTTTCTTTGTTAGTCATACATCAGTACATTCATTATCCCTCCTACACGAAACCACTTTAACTCTTTGTACAGAAATCATTTTAATCTAACAGACATGCATATTGGCCTGAAAACTGTAACAGTAGTTTCTTTTTCCACAGAATATTTTATGTTACATGGTTCAAAACTTGGCTTTTTGTGATCTGATAAATACATTGCTGTTTAAGTTGAAAATAATTAGTGAGTTCATTTGAATAAATTTTTTTTTTTTCATTCTGGCCTTTAGAAGTATCATTATTTTCTCCCTGTTTCCCAAGAAGTATGTTGATTTATTCTACACAAGCTTAAAGGGTTGGTTGTAGAAGGGAGGGCTTGCTTATATGCTTAACCTGGTTATTGCAACTAAGTCTCTGACTGAATTTGTGATATTAAGCAAAATTGTCAACATATAATGATTAAATAACATTCTAGATATCCAACCATGTTTTAGGATACCCTATAGCATAATTAGCATGTTGTTGTTGTTAAGTGCCGTCGAGTCGGTTCCGACCCATAGCGACCCTATACAGGGTTTCCAAGGGTGTAAATCTTTACGGGAGTAGAAAGCCTCATCTTTCTCCCGCGGAGCAGCTGGTAGTTTCGAACCGCTGACCTTAAGGTTCGCATAGTGGTTACAAATCGGGCTGTGAACTGGAAGGTCAGCAGTTCGAAACTACCAGCTGTTCCACAGGAGAAAGATGAGATTTTCTACTCCCGTAAAGATTTACAGCCTCAGAAACCCTGTTCAGGGTCGCTATGGGTCGGAACCGACTCAACGGCACTTAACAACAACAACAACATAGCATAATTTATTTTTAGATTATTCCTAATGTATGTAATTCTCTTTCCCATTTCTTTTACAGGCAGGATCACATTGCAAAGCAAGATGGGCAACATCACAATAGGTATGTTGCTAAGGTGCTTGTTGTGAAATGTTTCAGCTTCTTAAAGTAGGTATATTTGCAATGCTTTATTAAAGTACATAAAGTCTACCGTTTAGTTAATGAGCCTAATGGATACTGATAAGCAAGTCAGTTATAGGCAGAGCCAATATGTATGAATATGTGGAATTATCCCTGAGAATTTATTGGTTCACAATCATATACGTATTGTATATTATAAAGGTTTGCTGTCAGCCAGAATGAAGTTAGAATTCTGATTTTACCACTGTATTTACTTGGGCAAGGTACCTAACTTCTCTCTGTCTCAGTTTCCAAATTTGAAAAACAAATGGAAATGATAGTAACTACTTACCTGGTAGAGTTGTTGTAAGGATTAAATGCATATACACTTCAGCAGTATCTGACATGTAGTAAATAGTCAACAAGTCATAACGATTTTTATTATTTTCATTGTTGTGATCATAAGCCAGAAGTAACAGTGGCTAATAGTGCATTAGACCTAATCACCACATAGATGCTGTGCCTGTTGGAGAAAAACTTCAGATTTCTAACTGGGGATATATACCTACAGCAACCATCTGTCTCTGCTCGATTCCACGCAGTCCCTGCCTGCCTCCCAGAAAGGAAAGGCACACTGTCAGCTCTCACAATAGCAGTTTTTAGGCTTTATAAGATGCGGTGTTTTGGATGGGAAACTGGCATGTTGGTGGGGAGCTAGGCATATTGCTAATGTGAAAACCCACGGCTTACTGGTTTTGCCTTTTCTGAGAGTTTATAGAGTTTTCTCTTTGTGTTTCTTGAAATAGTAATTAGACCAACAGTCCTTTTCACTGTCACTCTTTCTGGGTTTTCTTGCCTTAGAAACATCCCTTGTACATTTTCTATGGATTGTAACTTGTATGTTCGGTAGGAGAAAAACAGAAAACAAATGTCTCCTAAGTGATAATGGTATATCATTTTAGTTAAGATGTGCCCAAAAGATTTACCTATATTCCAGTGTGAAACCAAGATTTACTGTTGATTTTTCGGGTCATTTTATCATCTGGGGATAGTAAGGGGAGTTTTTAGAGTTATTAAAGGCTAAGAGGCAAGAGACTGAGCTAGTTAGAGGAGAGAAAGTCCTAGTTATGGCTAGAATTTGTAGCAGTAAGGGAAAGGGAGGAGAATATTCCAAATTCAGAGGCACATTACCCAATAGCAGGCCTTTTAGGAAGCTGTGTATTTTGATGAAATATAATTTACCAGTTTTAAAAAATCAATTATTATGATGCTGTCCTGAATTTTCTTCTAGCAACTTTAACATCTTTGCTTTTCCTCTGACCCATCTCTAATTAACTTTCGAGTATACTGTAGGCTAGACATCAAGGTTCATTTCTTCCCCACGTGAATGTGCAGTTGTTGCAGCACCATTGGTTGAAAAAACTTTCCTTTCACCCATGGATTACTTTGATGTTTTTGTTTAAAATGTAATGGTTATACATAATTATGGATCTATTTCTGGTCCTTCTGTTTCATTGCTTTTTAATACAAAATGCTTTATTATAATAGGATTTAGCAAACTTCTCAATAAAGGGTCAGACAGTAAATATTTTTGTCTTTGTGGGTTGCATAAACAATACATAAATGAATGGGTATGTGGGTGTTCCAATAAAACTTTATTAACAAAAACAAGATGCAGGCTCTAGTTGGCTGATCTCTGCTTTCGAGTCTAAATATCATTTGTGTTATGCTGTTGGAGAAATTCTGAGTTTGGTGTTTTCATCCCACAGATGACAAGTGGGCAGTGTTTACTTGGAATTTCTTGTGATTGGTTTGTGTTTTCCATAAAACAAAAGTTTTCTGGAGAAAACTGAAGCCAGCTCTACAAATCATGACAATCCATTGACTAACTTGGGTTGTGAAGAATTGATAGTAGAAACAAAACAGTTAAAAAGAAACAACACTAATTTGTAGAAATCTGAGGAGGGAACAACTTAGACTAACCATGGCTTCAAAATATTGAAATGGGTCTCAAGAAAAGCTTATAAAATTACAAATTGAAGGGACAAGAAATGTATTGCTCTATCTGAATACAAGAGAATAGATTGTGCCCTCTCCATGATTCCTTAATAAAAAAGAATACATAGGTGTGATTTTGGTCTTTTATTCCTACTGTAGATATTGAATTAATTGATCAGCTTCTTAAGTGATTTGGATTATGTATATGAGGGGGCTTCAAAAAGTTTATGGATAAATGGTTTGAAAGATAATAAAATTTTTTCACAAACGTTTTGAAGGCCCCTTGTATATGTTCTAGTCTACCTCTCCAAACCCAGTTCTTCCTAATGTCTATAATGTAGAGTTCTCTCTCAAAAGCTGAGTCTATAAAATCCTCTTTTGCCTTAGAGTTCCAACTCATAGTGACCCTGTTCACAACAGAATGACACACCAGTCCTGCTCCATCCTCACAACTACTGCCACACTTGAGCCCATGTCTGCTGCCACCATGTCAATCCACCTTGTTGGGCATCTCCCTCTTTTCCCTGACCCTCCACTTTACCATACATCATGTCCTTCTCCAGGAATTAGTGCCTCCTGATAATATGTCTGAAGTATGAGAAACACCGTCTTGCATTTCTGGCTTATAAGGAGCATTCTGGCTGTACTTCTTTCAGTACAGATTAGTTTGTTCTTCTGCCAATTTTAATATCCTCCTCCAACACCATAATTCAAATGCGTCAGTTCTTCTATGGTCTTCCTTATTCATTTGTACAACTTTCACATGCATGTGAGACTATGGAAAATACCATGGCTGGGATCAGGTGCATCTTAGTTCTCAAACTGACATATTTGCTCTTTGAAGAAATCTTCTGCAGTGGAGTTTTCTAACATAATACATTGTTTGATTTCTTGACCACTTCCATGAGTTGATGGTGGATCCAACAAAATGAAATCTTCCACAGCTTCATTCTTTGCTCCATTCATGAAATTATTCATTGGTCTACTTGTGAGGATTTTTGTTTTCTTTACATTGAGGTGCAACCCATACGTAAAGGTGTGGTCTTTGCTCTTCATTGACAAGTGTTTTAAGTCCTCTTCACTTTCAGCAAGGAAAGTTGTGTCATCTGTATGTTGCAGGTTGTAAATGATTTTTCCTCCAAGCCGCCTTCTTTTTCATGTGGCTCTGATCAGCTGTTTCTCCAATAAATGGGTATCATAATAACAGATGTTCTCTTGTGGTTCTCACATATTTTTTATTGCATTTATTGCAATATAGTGAACTTTAATTAACACCATGGAACCCCTACAAAGTTCCACTAATGATGCTGGAAATGCTCTCACAGAGCAGAAAAAAGTCATGATGTTGCAAGAAAACGTTGAATTGCTTGACATACACAGTTGATTGAGCTGCAGTTACCTCCTTTTTCAAGATAAATGAATTCAGCATAAGGACCATTGTGTAAAAAATATAAAGGAAATTTGTGAAACTATTGCTACAATTACACCAGCCGTTGCAAAAACTTCTTGCTTTTAGTGAAATACCTTTCTATCTCAAATTGAAATACAGTTTTTAATGTGGGTGCAGAATTTCAATAAGTAAGGCATACCTATAGATTCTAATGTGATTAGGGAAAAAGGAAAGCCATTATATGACATTTAGAACAAAAGGAAGGTGAAGGATCTAAAGCTAGAGAATTTAATGCCAGTAAAGGGTGATTTTTCATTCTGGTGCTGACAGTGTTCCACTGCTATTCCTATGATTTTCAGTGACTAAATATTCAGAAATAGTCCGTCTCTCCTTCTTCCTAATCTGTGTTGGAAGAAGTACAGATAGAATGTTCCTTGGAAGTCAGGATGCCCAGGCTTCGCCTCTCATACTTCAGACATATTGTCAGGAGAGACCAGTCCCTGGAGAAGGACATCATGCTTGATAAAGTGGAGGGTTGGAGAAAAAGAGGAAGACCCCCAACTAGATGGATTGGCACAGTGGTCTCAAACAGCAGTGATTGTGAGGTTGGCACAGGACTGGGCAGTATTTTGTTCTGTTGTGCAGAGGGTAGCTGTGAGTCAGTATCAACTTGATGTCACCTAAAAACAAAAACAACAAAGGGTGGTTTGTTAATTTTAGTTAAAACCACACTCAAGTTTGGCTTTAAAAATGTCGGGATAGCAAGAAAAGCAGTTTCTGTTGACTAAGAGGCAGCAGATGAGTTAAGAGAGTTATTGAGGAGAAAGGATTGTCTACCTGAACAGGTTATTAATGCAGACTAAAGTGCCCTATTCTGGAAACAAATGCTGTTTATTAGTAAGAAAGGCAACTTGGTGGAGATGAGTGCTTCCACACGAGTGGTATACAGCGAGGAAGGAGATGTAGAAGGAGTAGTGTAAGAAAACAGGACGACATTAAACAATCTGGCAGAAGGGTTCCAGTTATTCAAAACTGCTTTGACCTGAAACATGGATCCTTTTATGATCCAGACACTGACCCCAAGCAAATGGTGGAAGAATTAGTACTGTACAGAGAAATGGACAAAACAAAAATATCAGACAGAAATGAAGATATACTGAAATGCAGCTTTTTTTGTGGGTATAGTACACAAGATATATATAACATATAAAATATGTTAATTGACTATGTATATTATCAGTGAGGCTTCTGGGCAACAGTAGCCTATTAGTAGTTAAGTTGGGGGATATTATCAGCTGAATAGGAGGGTCAGCATCCCTATGCCAATGTTGTTCAAGTGTCAGCTGCATTTCTCTGGTAGTGTTTAGTGTTGGAGTTCTGGTGAAACTGTAAGATAAGCACTGGACTATTACCCACAGGTCAGTGGTTCAAACCTGCCATCTGCTCTTTGGAAACCCTATACACGGTCACAATGATTCAAAACCGACTTGACAGCACTTAACAACAACATGTAGTGTTAGCTGGTGGTTGACATCAATTATTTGCTTATGTATGAGTAATTTTCCATGAAAACTCAATAGTCTCTGTCAGACTGACAAGATCTTTGCCCTCAACTATGATGATAGGAAACTCTCTGTGGGGAGACTACTTATTCCGTTACTCTCTGAACTAACACTTCGGTTCACTTCCTACTGATGTATATTTCCCCTAGCCATTCTCCAGTATCTGTAGGATTTCTCTGCTCTGTGATACTAAAAAAAAAAAATCACTCAATTGATAATTTTTAGTTCTGATAACTTGTATTACAGAAGACAAAAGAAAAATGAAAGTTTGTTATTATTGCCTAGCTTTGAAATTCATCTTGTTTTTCTATTTTAAACACATATTATGGTATGTGTGTATATATATATATATGTCCTGGTGTGGTGCTGTGGGCTAATGCATCAGACTGCAAAGCCATTTGAACTGCAAGGTTGGCAGTTCAAGCTCACCGCTTCTCCTTGGAAACCCTATACAGGGTCGCTATGGGTTGGAACCGACTAGACAGCACTTAACAACAACAACTGATATATATATATATATATACACACACATACATTTATATATATAAATAATCACTGAACTGCTAACACAAACAAGGTTGATGGTTAAAATCCACCAGCTTCACCTTGGAAGCCCTCTATAGGGTCACTATGAGTCAAAAACTGACTCGACGACACTTAATAACAATAACAACATATGTGTGTGTAGATAGATACATAGATAGATAGATAGATGATAGATAGATAGATAGATAGATAGATAGATAGATAGATAGATAGATAGGTAGATTGAGCCTTCAAAGGATGGTCTCTAGTCTGGTAACATGAGGATATAATTAGATTTTTTAGCTGCTTATTTCTCATTAGGGGGAAAAGAAATGAGAAGTATTGTTTATGATCCAAATAAAAGTCTTGTTTTTTTGTGCTTTTTAAATAATTTCCCTAGAGAAAGCAAGAAGTTAAAGTAAAGTTTCAAGCAATTTACTTTGTTAACTTGGGATTATATACAGATCATGTGATCTACATTTTTTACCAAGTCATTTTTAATTTGACTTCTTTTGGGATATAGTTGTTGTTGTTGTTAAGTGCTAACAAGTTGGTTCCAACTCATAGTGACCCTGCATAAGGTTTCTGAGGCTTTAAATCTTTGCAGGAGCAGAAAACTTCATCTTTCTCCCTCAGAGCAGCTGGTGGGACTGAGACACTGACCTTGAATGCAGTGTTGTTTTTAAGTGCCATTAAGTCTGTTCTGACTTGTAGAAACCCTGTATAGGGTTTTTGAGGAGTGGCTGGTGGGTTTGAACCACCAACCTTGCAGCTCAATCTGACCTTGAGGTCCAGTGCATTATCCTGTAGCACCACACCAGGATTCTTTGAATGCAGTAAGATGACTTAAAACACTTTTCTGTTAGTATCTTTGTAATGACGTTTTTCAGCTCTTTTATCTCATTTATCTCTAATGGCTTAATTTTCCAACATTTGTGTTTACTTTTGAAGAGCAAAGCTGTCAGCATGAGGACTAAGGGGAGCCTGGCCCAAGCCATTGCACTTTCAATAACCTCATATGCAAACAAAAGCTGGAAGTGAATAGGAGAACCGTAGAATAATTGATGCTTTTGAGTTACGGTGTTGAAGGAGAATATTGAAAGTGCCATGGGCTGCCAAAAGAACAAACAGATCTGTGTTGGAAGAAGTATAGCCAGAGTGCTCCTTGGAGGCCAGGATGACCAAACTTCATCTCTCATACTTTGGACATATTGTCAGGAGGGATCAGTCACTGGAGAGGGATATCATGTTTGGTAAGGTGGAGGGTCAGAGAAAAAGGAGAAGACCCCCAGCGAGATGGGTTGGCAAAGTGGCAGTATCAATGGGCTCAAGCGTGGCAACAATTGTGAGGTTGGCCCAGGACTAGGCAGTGTTTCATTCTGTTGTGCATAGTGTCACTAGGAGTTGGTACCAACTTGATGGCACCTAACAAGTGTTAACTTTTGACACTTGAAAATGAAATAAATTAGATCTAATAAGGGGCTTTTTCAGTATAGATTCAAACTAGATTTTTTTTTTTAAGCTTTTATTGTGAACTGAGTGATAGTTTACATGGGAGAACATCGGCTTTACACTCATCCTATCATGTTTTGCTTCACAGCTATAATTACAATCCCCTCCATGCATCATCATTTAGTGGTATTTGTTTCTATTCTCTCTGGGTTTTTGTTTTGTTTTGTTTTTTGATGTACACAAAAACACTCAGGAATATATAATCATTTAAACAACCAAAGGGCACATTCTTCAAGTCAGCCTCCTGGCCGCCGGCACATAGCCTGTCTCTTTACATGAGTCTAGGATCGTCTGTCTCTCCATGCTATCACATCTGCCTCCATCTCTGATACCGCTGCTTCTCTGGTTAAGGTCCCATGTGCTGTTCATATTCTTCTCTCTTGATTGTCTTAGGGTCCTCTGTTTCTGGAATATAAAGTTAACTGTTCCCCCCTTTATGTTACAAACCTTCTTCCTTTATAATTGTGAGAATTGCAATTAATCATGATAATGATTACTATTGAATCATAAGACTCTTATCCCCATTTCCTTTCTCCAGAGCCATCTAGACAAGATGAAAACTCTTCAGTGGGGACTCTCCCTTCTTCTCCCTTCCCCCGCACACTCTGAAACTCAAGTCCCTCTTGGAAACTTGCATGCCAGCCACTCTGTGCCTTTATAGTCTTCCCTTCCCCATTTTAGGTAGCCAGTGTCTAAGTTGCCCATCCCCATCAACCCTGTGTACAGAGGGGATAGGACTTGATCCTTGATGTGATCATTCCTTCCTCTTGGTATTTTGAGCTACTACATCCATAAGTATAGGTCAAGCTCATCAAATTGTAGCAATTTACACTTGCTTTCTTTATCAAATTTCTTTATCTTCCTCGAGTTGTGCTCTGGTCATCAAGCCATCGGAAGCCAGGTCAAATGGGTACTATCTGCAAGTTTGGGCATTCTTGTGCATCTCCCCTCACTTCATATCAGCTGGACACTTCACTCAAAGCTCTAGCCCTCCATGGATAGTTCAGTGTTCATGGGCTCAGGAATTCCCAAGGCTCCGCAAACTTTGGACCAACCAGTCCTTCCTCTTCTCACTTTCATCTCAAGGTTGACAGGTATCTATGGAATGTGGTTGAACTCAGCCTATAAGCTCATTACTGACTTTCTCCCATTTCTTCTCACATGCTGACCAATGTGGTCGCCAGCTACCTTTAATGCCTGTTTGTGAAGATAGGTTTTTATAAATTATCTTTGAGATTTTGAACAGTTTATTCAAAATCTGACCTTGTAGTCACATAAAACTTCTCTTAAAGAAAAAGATTGACTCCTTTGTAGATGAGCAAATGTTTTCTCTTTGTTTTTTTATAAAAAGTATGATGTACTTTTTGGCATGATTTTTCCATACCTCCTCCTTTGTTTTCATTTTAAAGTAATAAAAACTGCTGTTAAAATACGGTTTTTTAGAGCTCTCTCTAACAAAAGAAGGTACTTTAGTCTTTTGGGGCATCAGATGGAATATTAAACTGAAGACTCAATTGGTCCTAAAGAAGGGCAGGAAAAGCTACTTAGCAGTGTTAGTGCCTCATCTCTTTATTTCCGACTCTTAACTTTTCTTTGACCTCGAAATGTTGAGTATTTGAAAACTGGACTCATCAACAGTGTTTGTTAAATCAGGGCTATCATACTAATTACCTTCCCACCCCTGACTTCAGGATATTTGTTCAGTTCAAGAAACTTGGAAGGAAAAGAAATACTAAGACATAAACCAGCTGCACTAATGCTTCATGATTCCTCTTTTTTTTTTTTTCTTTTTTTCTATCTTTCTCTTATCCTGGTGCAGCACTGTAGGAGAAGCACTGGACTGCTAACCACAAGGTCAGCGGTTCAAACCTACAAGCTTCTTGGAAACTCTGCAAAGGTTGCTATGAGTCAGAATTGATTCACGGCACTTAACAATAACAATCTTATTCCAAAAACTACAACAGAATTTTGTCTAATGTAATCAATCTTTCACTAGCACTTTCTAATACTAGCAAATTTGCTAAAATGAGAAATTATAAGAGATTTTTATTTAGTTAACTTTTAGCCATTGTTTATATGTATGTAACTTTGATAAATATTGACAGTTTTCTAAGTTTATCAACATGACAGTAAACTAAATATATTAATGATACTTAATGGTCTTAGCTGTCAAGGACCCATAGTTTTGCACATTGTTCTTCCCTCTTATTAGGTCTTAGAGTAAGCATGTTTGAGATAAGTTATTCAGGTTATTGCACACATAAAGACTTTGTGATTAGTTGTCTAAATGTAGATTTCTGATGTGTTTACATTTTAACAGCATTATTATGAGGAGAATACAAAACTTTATAAGACATTAAATTCCTTATCAGAATGCTGTAGCAGTATTTGAAATTTATAATCCTATTTACCAGATTAAAAATGATCATGCTATTGTTTTTCTTTCTTCCCTCCCAGATTCATCCTCTGGATATCTAGAAGCCTCAACTCACCAGGGTGCCATAGATGTTTATGTCAGCCAACTGGGAGAAGTGGACTTAAAATCTCATGAAGGTTAGTCAGCTAGAATGTCTTATTTTGACATATAGTGTAAAGAAGGTTTTATGTAACACTCAGGAAATCGATAGTTATATTATCTTCTCTACAAGGAGCTCTGGTAGCATAGTGGTTATGAATTGGCTGCGAACCACAAGGTCAGCAGTTCAAAATGACCAGCTGTTCTGCAGAAGAAAGATGAGGCTTTCTGCTCCCATAAAGATTTACAGCCTCAGAAACCCTGTACAGGGTCGCTATGAGTTGGAACTGACTCCACAGCACATAACCACCACCATAACCACACTGACATAGTTATTTCAAGAGAAATTCTGTCAGAATCTAATTTAAAGACTAGTCTACCAATGCTATAGATCAGTGATCTTCAAAACCTTTGGAACAGACAGCTACGAAGACTTTCATTTTGTAGTACAAACAAAAAGGTAATGTTTTGACTATCTGTTATTTCGGAATTAAAAAAATTCAACTCTTGGAATTTTTCAGTTTAGTCTTTTATCTAAAATGGGATGTTCTTTGAAAGAAAAGTGCTGCCATATGTCCTTAAAGGCCCTCTAAAATGATTACTGATCCTTTGGAGTAGACACATCTGATGTATCTACTTCCATAATTTAATTTCTGATACAAAATAGCTTATTTTCAGAGTCCAAATATTTCCTTGAAAGCAGTATCCTTTTTAGATTAGACATCTGAAGGCTGAATGTAAGTACGTGAAGTAACTTGACCATAGTGATTGAAATGGCCTGGATATTAAAAATTAAGGATCATAACTCTGCATTAACTATATAAAATAAAGTCTAGAATTTCATGCCAATTAGTCAGAACAGGGCTATATGCAAAATTAGGAAAACCCTCTGCTGGTAGTAGTTGCTTTGCTATGTCAATACTCTAACTCCTTTCCCATTCAACTAGGCTGCCTTGTCAGCGTGTCCGTATAATGCTGTGAGACACAGAGGTCTGTAAGACAGAAGTTAGTGCTGACACACAGCTGTGTGTGACTTCTCAAAACCATATTGTACCCTTTTTTAAATTTTTCTTAAATGATTTATTGTGAATTATGTGATAGTTTACATGGGAGAGCATTAGTTTTACATTCATTCTATCATATATCGTCTCATTGCCATGGTTACAATCCCTTCCATGGAATCCTTCCCCCGTACCCCCCAGGTCTTCAGCACACAGTTGCTCCCCTTCTCTGGATCTAAAGTCTCCAGCTGCTCCATCACTCCACGTCATCATCTCTGGCTCCATTTCAGGCATCACTGCTTCTCTGGGTAGGGTCCCGCTCTCTGCTCTTGTCCCTTGATGGTCCTAGGGACCTCCACTCCTAGACTGAAAAGTCAATCACTCCCCTCCTTGCTATATAACATCCACCTTTACATTTCCAACCCTCACAGTCAGTCCTGATAACAATTATTCACTATTGTATCACAAGAAACCCATCTGTATTTCATTGCATCAGCCCCGCCTAGTCAGATTGAATACTACTTACTGGAGATTCTACCTTCCTCCAGGCCCTCTGGATCTAGGTTCCCTCTTGAAAGCTTGTAAGGTAAGCCAATCACTTCTTGCCTTTGTAGCCCCCCACCCCCCATTTTGGGTAGCCAATGTCCAAGTTGCCCATCCCTGTCTACTCTGTGTGTGGAGGGGGTGGGAATGATTCTTGCTGTAAGGACTTGTTCCCTTTTTTGAGCTACTGCTTCCATAGGTGTAGGTCAAGTTCATCAAATTGTATGAGAATTTTTTTTTTTTTTTCCTCTTCTTTTCACCTCCGGTTGAGCTCTGATCATCCAGTCATCGAAGCCAGGACAAGTAGGCATCATCCGCAAGTGTTGATGTTCTTATGCATATGCCCTTTCTTCTTATCAACTGGACGCTTCACTCTCCACTCTAGACCTCCGTGGCTATGTCACTGACTCTGGGCCCAAGAGTCCCCAGGTCTTGCCACACTGCTGGCCAACCAGATCTTCACTCGGGTTCACAGAGGTCTATTGAACGTTGTAGGGCTTAGCTCACCGCTTCATTGCTGTTTTTCCCTCATTCCCCCTTATCGATGTCGAGCGTGGTTACCAATCACAGCGTGTATTCCCATTGATGTTCCCTTTTAAAACAGGGTAATATCATGTCCTCACTTAACTTCTAAATGCTTCAGTATTATTCAAAGTATTTTATAAATCCATACAGTATGGATTGTACCTCAATGTAAATAAAATGAAAATCCTCACAATTGAACCAATAAATCACATCATGATAAATGGAGAAAACACTGAAGTTGACAAAGATTTCATATTACTTTCATTCAAAATCAACACTCATAGAAGCAGCAGTCAAAATAAATAAATAAATAAATAAATAAAATAAACAAACAAACAAACAATGTATTACATTAGGTAGATCTGTTGCAAAAGACCTCTTTGAAACGTTGAGGATCAAAGATCTCACTTTGAAGGCTCAGGTGTGCCGGACCCCCACCATGGTATTTCCAGTCGCCTCATATGCATGCGAAAGCTGGACTGTGAATAAGGAAGACCTGAGAAGAACCTGTGAATATGAGCTATGTTGTTGGCGAAGAATATTGAATATACATACCACTGACCACCAGAAGAGCAAATAAATCTTTTTTTGAAGAAATAATGGCCGTATTACTTCTTGGAAGCAATTATGGCAAAACTTTGTGTCTTATACTTTGTAACATGTTGTCAGGAGCAACCATCCTTAGAGAAAGACATCATGCTCCGTAAAGTAGAGGATGAGCAAGAAGGAGGAGGACCCTCAATGAGAAGGAATGACACAGTGTCAACAACAGTGGGCTCAAACGTTACAATGATTGTGAGAGTGACAATTCTCAAACACAAGTGTTTCATTCTGTTGTACACAGGGTTGCTATGAGTCAGAACCAATTTGAAGGCACCTAAACAACAGTATTAAAAAGATACGAAGATACCTTTACTACATTTACTCTAGCGTAGTGGTTACAAATCGGGCTGTGAACCACAAGGTCAGCAGTTCGAAACTACCAGCTGTTCCATGGGAAAAAGATGAGGCTTTCTGCTCCCTTAAAGATTTACAGCCTGAGAAACCATGTACAGGGTCGCTATGAGTCGGAACCGACTCCACAGCACTTAACAACAGTAACAGAATAAAAACAGAGTTCTGAATAAACAACTTTTGCATGAAAGGTATTTTCTTTTTTTGTGGATAGTCCAAAAAGTAAAACAAAACAATCAATCAAACAAAAACCACTTTTAATCCACATTCACTTAAAAAAAAGTTTTGAGTATCATTTGGAAAGTTGTTCAGCTATTGAAATAACATATGGTGTTACAAATTTTATTAGAATTGCAATTTTGTGTTTTCTCCTACTGGGACCATATCACTGAAGCTTAAAGATACTAGAAACAAAAGAGTTCTTTTAATTCTAAGTACACTTGGGAACAGAAACTTTTTAGAGAAGTGGAAAGTCATTGAGGACACTGCTTCTTAATGGTTTGTGAGGACATCTGGAATCCATTCCAACTCTGCCACTATCTCACTGTAGGATTCAGAGCTATTTATTTTAGTCTCTTAGGTCTTCTCCATTTGCCTTGTGAAAAAGAATGTTAAAACACTTGTTTTGTCTTTCCTTTTGAAAGTTAGCATAGTGACTTTAATTCAGAAAACTTGGGAGTCACACTTAAGGGCTTTTCCACTTAACTTTTTGTCCTTGGAAAAATCACAAATCTTGACGTCGTATGCCTTCGATAAGTGATACTGCTAGTATTCATTCACTTTTGAATTTTCAAAGTGGACAATATGCTTATAAAGTGAAAAAAGAGGTTGAAGACTTAACAGGAGTCCTGTTTTCCAAAAACGATAAAAAAAAATGGGACATATGGGAAGGTTTTCAAATCATGGGAATTCTTTCCAAACAGTGGGGAAGTTTTGGTACTGGTGAGTTTTTTTTTTTTTTTAAGGATATAGAGGGAGATAAAGCTCTTAGAGATTTAAAACCATGATTCATTTAAGAGGAGTCCTGGTGTGTCACTGTGGGTTAATGTGCTGGACTGCAAAGTTAGTTTGAACTACAAGGTCGGCAGTACAAGCTCACCAGCCACTCCTCGGAAACCCTACACAGGGTCACTATGGGTCAGAACTGACTCAGCAGTATTTAACAACAACATTCATTAAAGAATAGAAAGAAAAGTTCATAATATTATCAGGTTTGATTTGTATTTAGAGAAGTCCTAGAAAAATGTTTTTGAACCCACGGTTTTCTATTTTCCAAGTGTGTGTGATAGAAAAACATGCCTATTCTGTTCATACTGAAATAGGATTTCTAGGATTCTGGAGTTTTCTTTCTTTGTTTCTTTTTTTGCCCTTCCCTGTAGTAGGTAGCATAATGGGTGATGCTTTGGGTGGTAACTGCAAAATCACCAGTTCAAATCCAAAGGCTGCTCCTAGGAAGAAAGTTGAGGCTCCTGTAAAATGTGCTGCCTTGGGAACCCTATCCAGGGTTGCTGAGTCTGAAGGAACTCCACAGTCAGCATGCAGCAGAAGCAGCGTAGCTCTCAGACCTTTTGTTATGGGGGATCTTCTGTCAGTAGCTTATATTTGAGCCCTGAAAAGCAATTTGTTTTTAATGAAACAAATCTATTGTGGTGATATGCTTTGTTTCTTTTTTTATTGAGAAGTGAGTATGAGTGTTCGTCCCTTGTGAGGATAGCCAAACCCCAGTGAGACAAGAGTTATTTCAAAAGACTTTAGGAGGAGCAATTCTGAATATACTTCTATGTACAATTTCTCTGTCCATCAGAATCCACCTTAGTGGTGAGAATCAAGTCTGAGTGCACCTTACTGGTGACAATATGTGAAATCACATAGGATAATTAAACCTAGTGCTAACCAGATTAGATGAAAAATCATGACCAACTATTAAATGCACCCTAAAAGGGTTCTTTACAGCATTCACTGTGCATGTCATCCTGGTCATCTTGGTCCATAGATGGAGCAGGGGCTTCTTACCTATTTCATTTGATATGTACGAAACAGAACAGAAAAGCTTCTGAAACAGAAGTGTGCTGCTGATTTTGCACTGCAAAATAAGAAACTGTTTTCACTAGCTAACAGAGTACTGATTTGTTCCTTTGTTGTTGTTGTTAAGTGTTGTTGAGTCAGTTCTGACTCACAGCACCCTGCATAGGGTTTATGAGAAGTGGTTGGTGGGTTTGAAGTGCTGAGCTTGTAGAGCAGTCCAGTGCTTGTCCAACAGTGCCACTACCATAAAATTGTACTGGAAATAAAGCTGAGTTTCTTGCCCCTTGCATGCAAAAGGCTGAAATTTTCTCAAAAGATGCATTAGTCAATTAGAATTCAAATAATCTTTTTGTTGTTAATTTTTCTCTCTTAACACAAGGCACAGTTGAAAGTACAGTATCTCAGTTCTAAGTGTGAGAGAATGATCAGGGAGGTCACAGTGCTGTGATTTGGTGAGGTAGCAGTGTGTGAAATACCACAGTAATTAGGAGCATGGGTTTCATAGTCATTGGACTGAGTCTAGATTCCAGTGCTGGCTCTAGTGGAAACTTGAGCAAGTTCTCCTCTGTCAGATGGGGATAATAATAACTCATAAAATCGATAGAGGGATTAAGAAACAGGATGTAATTAAGGTATCTGGCTCTTAGTAAATGGCAAATCTTGTCTACAGCGACATGTGCCATGAACTGCTTACAGACTTTCCTGGTACTGGAGGAGCTGGCTAGGATTATTGGCAAAAAAAGAAATAGTAATTCATAACGTCCTTGGGAAGAAGGAAACTTTGATCATCTTGTAAGGAAAAGGCACTGCTGTTTAAATGAATATGCTGAAGAGTAAAGACAGGACACCAGAAGCAAAGTGCCCTTTCGATCTAGTTTATAGAAGACACTGGAATTTTTTTATTGCTTTGCTGGAATAAATTCTCCTTTAAAATTTTACAGGTTCTATTATTGTCAAGGTGCCCTCTGCTCTTCAGACTCACTTACAGTTATCAGCGAAGAAGGTTGATGTGAACTCGGAGGTCCAGGTTCAGGAAATGGCTGAAGCCCACAAGGATGATGGTATAACAGTTACTGGTAAGAAGGTTGCATTTTTTCCAAATGAGATGGATAGTCATTGTTTAGACATAAATTGGATTGGGTTCTATCTCTTAAATTCTTCCTTTCACATGTTCTAGTGTTTGGCTTTTCTCTCTCTCTCTTTTAATTGCTGATTGGTAGCGTGATGCAGATATTTTGTTTTAAAAGACCTCGTTAGTCACTTAAAGGCACTTGTCATTGTCTTGTCATTGGATAAAATGTATTTTAAAAGTGTTCTGGCATAATTACTGTCTAATTCTTAGACTTAAAAATTCACTGAATACATGTCATTATAATGAAAGATTTAATTTAATTATATATGATTAAATAGGAATTTGATTTAATATTATGCACTTTGTAAACATACTCTTTCAGTACACTGAATTCTCAATTCCACAGAGATGAATAGCTTTTGCACATTTTTCCTGACTCCATGTTTTTCAAAACATTTATTGTTTTGATAGATAATGCATATACATATATATATATTTAAATGCTGACAGTTTCCCTTTAAGCTCTACCACAATGGCAGCCCTATATGTTATTGTTAGTAGGTGGCAACGAGTCAGTTCAGACTCATAGTGACCTTATATGCCACCCACACAATTGTTAGGTTTGAGCCCATTGTTGCTGCCACCATGTCAATCCATCTTGTTAGGGGTATTCCTCTTTTATGGTGACCTCCACTTTACCAAGCATGATGTCCTTCTCCAGGGAATGGTCCCTCCTGATAGCATATCTGAAGTAGGAGAGACAAAGTTTCGACATCCTCCCTTCTAAGGAACATTCTGACTGTACTTCCTCCATGACAGATTTGTTTGTTCTTCTAGCATTCCATAGTACTTTCAATATTCTTCACCAACACCATAATTCAAATACATCAATTCTTCTATGGTCTTCCCTATATGTACCAGGAATAAGACACTGCCTAGTCCACCATCCATACACATGTTCCTATCTGAGTTCATTGTTGCAGCTACTGTGTCAATCCAGCTCTTCTTTTTACTCACTCTCTATCAAGAAAGATAATCTTCTCCAGGGACTGGTCCCTCCTAATGACATGTCCAAAGAACTTGAGACAAAGTCTTTCCATCTGCACTTCTAAGAAGCATTCAGGTTGTATCTCTTCCAAAACAGATTTGTTCAATCTTCTGGCAGTCCACAGTCTATTTAATATTCTTCATCAACACCATAATTCAAATGCATCAGTTATTCTGCAGCCTTCCTTATTCATTGTCAGCTTCCACAGCATATGTTCTTCTTCTTGTTAGATGTCATTGAGTCGGTTCCGACTCATAGCTACCCTGTGCACCACAGAACGAAACCCTGCCTGGTCCTGCGCCATCCTCACAATGATTGTTATGCTGCAGTCTACTGCTGCTACCACTGTGCCAATCCATCTCATCAGAGGTCCTCCTCTTTATTCGTGACCCTTCACTTTACCGAGCAAGATGACTGACCCTTCCTGGTAAATGTGTTCCAAGTATGAGAGACAGTCTCACTATCCTGGCTTCTAAGGAATATTCTGACTGTACGTATTCCAACGTATTTGTTGGTTCTTCCAGCAGTCCATGGTACTTTTAATATTCTTCTCCAGCACATAACTCAAACATATCAATTCTTCTGCAGTCTTCTTTATTCACTATCCAACTTTCACAAGCATATGAGGTTATTGAATATACCCTGATTTGAGTCCAGTGCACTTTAATCCTCTGACATCTTTGCTCTTAAACGCTTCAAAGAGGTCTTTTGCAGCAGACTTGCCTAATACACTACGTCATTTGGTTTCTTGACTGCTGCTTTCTTGAGTGTTGATTAGTGGATCCAAGCAAAACGAAGTTTTTTACAACTTCAATCTTTTCTCCATTTATCTTGATGTTTTTTATTGGTCCAGTGGTGAAGATTTTTGTTTTCTTTACACTGAGATGCAACTTTTATTTAAGGCTGTGGTCTTTGATCTTCATCAGTAAGTATTTTAAGTCCTCTTTGCTTTCAGCAAACACAGTTGTATCATCTGCATAACTCAGATGCCAATCTTGATGCCCTGTTCTTCTTCATATAATCCAGCTTCTTGAATTATTTTCTCAGCATATAGATTGACTATGGTGAAAGCCTACAACCCTGGCACATACCTTTCCTGATTTGAAGCCAGTCAGTATCCCCTTGTCCTGTTCAAATGACTGCCTCTTGGTTTGTATACAGGTTCATCATAAGTACGTTTAAGTGTTCTGGCATAACCATTCTTGAAATATTATCCATAGCTTTTCATGATCTACACAGTTGAAAGCCTTTGCATAATCAGTAAAGCACAGATATACATATTTCTGAAATTCTCTGCTTTCAGTCAAAATCCATGTTATGTTAGTAGTAATATATTTCATTCCACATCCTCATCTGAACTCAGCATGAGTTTCTGGCTGTTCCTTGTTTATGTACTGTTGTAGCCATTTTTAAATTATGTTCAGCAAAATTTTACTTTTTTGATGGTTTCTGTATTCTGTTGGATCACGTCTTTTGAAATAGACACAAATATGGATCACTTTTAATAACTTGACCAGCTATCTGTCTTCTAATTTCTTGGCATAGATGAATGAGTGCCTCCACTGCTACATCAGTTTGTTGAAAGATTTCTTCTGTATTCCATCTAATTCTATTTCTGGAGCCTTGTTTTTGGTCCATATCTTCAGTGCAACTGGCACTTCTTCCTTTGATAACATTGGTTCTTGATCATATGCTACCTCTTGAAATGGCGGAACATGACTCTGTGTAGACCTTCTGTCTTCTTTTAAGGTTTTTTTAATCATTCAATATTTTGCCCATAGAATCCTTTAATATTGTAAGTTGAGGCTTGAAATTTCCTTTAGTTCTTTCAGTTTGAGAAATGCTGAGCATGTTTTTCCCTTTTGGTATTTTAATCCTGGTCTTTGTACATTTCATTGTAATACTTGACTATGTCTCCTTGAGCTGCCCTTCCAACTGATAGTGACCCTTTCTAGGGTTTATGAGGAGTGTCTGATGGGTCTGAACTGCAGACCTTGCAGTTAGCAGTCTAGTGCTTATCCCACAGCACCACACCAGGATGCTATGTCATAAAGTAGTGCCCATTATTACAAACCATTTTATGTACCTTGAAGTTTTTATTTAATATGCTTTATGTGAGTTGGTTTATTGCTACAGTTGTATATAAGTTGGATGTTCATCCCTCAGGTACCTCCTGTACACATTTTTTAAAAAAACTTTATTTGTAATAGAAAAAACCTGGAAGCAACCCACATGTTCATCCACAGGTGAATGGATAAACAAAGGGTAGCATATTCATACAATTGAATTCTATTCAGCAGTAATAATAAAAATAATACATGCTGCATGAACCTCAAGATAATTATATTGGGTGAAAGAGGCCAGACCAAAAAAAAAAACACGAATACTTATGTATGATTGCATATATGTATCATTTTAGGAAATGCAAAGCAATCAATAGTGACAAATCAGTTGTTGCCTGCTGCAGGTGTGAAGTGGGACAGGCAGGGAGGGGTGAGAGGAGATTACAAAGAGTGACCTAAGGAGACTTGGGAGTAATGGAATGTTCATAATCTTGAGATGGCTTTACAGATTTTTACATACGTCAAAACCTATTACACTGTATACTTCAAATGTTGTCCGGTGCTGTCGAGCCAGTTTCTGCCATCGCAATCTATGTTGCAGAGTAGAACTGCTCGATAAGGTTTCTTTCTTTTTAATTGCCATCTTCACAGAAGAAAATAGCCAAGGCATTCTCCTGTGAATCTGCTGAATGGGTCTGAACTGTCAGCTTTCTGGTTAATGATAAAGAGCATGACTGTTGTACCAGAACCACCAGGACACCTTGTATTCTAAACGAATGCAGTTTCTTTTATGTCGGCTTTACTTCAATAAAGTTATTTTATTTATTTGTTTTTAATCCAGTATAATGTCTGTTATTCTCTATGCATCAGAACTGACTCAGTGACACCTAACAACAACAATATAACGGAAAAAACCACTTAATTTAAAAAATGAGATTAAGAGGATTTATTAGAAAAAAAGATGCATTCGAATGCAGGAAGACTAGCCCATATAAGTGAGAACTGATAACTTCAACTAAAGAACTCATAACAAAGATAAAATCCAGGGAGCAAAGAAATTATAGTACAGTTGTTTGATTGGCTAGTCTTTGGGCTGGGGGTACGGAATGGGCTTCTGTGGGATAATTGAGTATAGAAGCTTAAGAACTAATTACAGAGATTTTCATTCATAGCTACAAGTCCTTCAGGTGGAATCTTAAAGCATCACTGATAAATGTTTAAACAGCTTTAACTAGATGTCACAGAAATTTGTAGAAACTGACTTGGTACCGTGACCTTATTTTTCCAAAAAAAGCTTGTTAAACAAAACCCCTATAAGTTGTCTGGGAAACTTTAGATAGAGCCAGATCCAACCCTTTTAACCAATTCCCTTTCTTACATCCTTGCTATGAAGAATAGTTCTTGGTCCCTCTTTATACAAGAGAAAGCTATGTCAAGATTCTCTTTGTCAGAATGTCTTTCTTCCACATTCTGGGTTGATCATAGAGAGAAATTGCTTCCGTTTTTATGGTTTCTAAACAATGGAGCCCTGGTGTGGAGCTGTAGGATAAGCACTGGACTGCTACTCACGAAGTCAATGGTTCAAGCCCACCAGTTGCTCCTTGGAAACTATACAAGGTCACTATGAGTCAGCAGTGACTCTGTGGCACTTAACTACAGTTAACCCAGATAACAGGAGCTTGTAAAAGGTGCGCATTAACTGGAGTAAACGTGGAAACCAGGCAGGCAAGTAAATTCAGCCAGAACTATGTTTAATTCAGTCAGATTGGGTCAAAAAGACTATGAATTTTTCTTTTATACTTCTGAATCATCTGAAGATTGGGGCTAGATACTAGCTGGAATGGCATTTGGTGCTTCTTTGGAATCGGTCAGCACATTGCTGTTCCTCTGTGTATGAGTGATGCTGGCTGGACTGTACCACAGGTCATCGTTTTGCTTCATTTGATTTTACTGGTTGTTGTAATTACTTTTACACGGATACACTCACAGCTTTGAAGAGGGACTCTTCTTGGGTGAAGTCTCCGACACTTTCTAGGAGCTTTCTCATTGAGTTGTTTCATGTCTAAGATACTTTCCTGTTTCAGAGATGTGTTGTTAGGATCTGTATAGTAAAATGCTGCCATTATTAATTAATGGGTAACTTTTTGCAATTTTGTGTTTCAGGAGTCATTAATGAAGCAAGCAATCATGAGAAATGGATTAAGGCTGATGCCCCAAAAGGCACAGTAAGTCTTAGAAGTCAGAGCTGGTTTCAGTCACTGAAAATGCAGGACTAAGCATGGTTTGCATTGTTTTTATGAAATGTAAACAATGAAAAGCAGCCCTGTGACTATAAATATGCAAATACCACTGTTCATGTCGATATAGTAAACAAATGGAAATGAATATTGATGAAGTGTTTTGTTTTGGAGGAGCGCTTTTTCAAACATGAAGTGTAGCTATTGAATTGGCTTTTCTTTGTCATTGCTGTGTAACAGATTACTTTAAACTTATCAGTTTAATGTAACACCTGTAGGTCAGAAGTGGGGTGCTGTGGGGCTCTCTCTGTTCAGGGTATCACAGGACTGAGCTGAATTCTTCTCTGGGAGGACTGGGGGGAAATCCGTGTCTAAGCTCATTCACTTGGACAGAATCCAGTTGCTTGTACCTGTGTGATCGAGGTCCTGCTTTCTCACTGATTGTTAGCCGGCAGCAGCTGTAAACTTCTCGAAGCTACTTACATCCTTCCTCATATGATCCCCTCCATCTTCAAGATGGCAACTGTGCATTGAATTCTTTGTGTGCTTTGAATAGCTGACTTCTTCTGCAACCAGCTGGAGAAAACTGCTTTTAAAGGGCTGGGTTGATTAGACAGGCCCATCCAAGATATCTTCCTTTTGTCATATACGAGAAGGGATATGTCATAAAATTAACAGTTCCCATTCACGTTTAAGGGAAGGAAATTATACAAGATTAAATATAGAAGATCATGGGGGCAGTTATCTTAGAATTCTGTGTACTGTAGCTCCTATGTATATGCTTTCTACTTGGTAACCCATATTATTAACATTATAAATTCAAGCAATGAATAACAACACTTATCATAAATGTGATGCAATTGCTAGTGATTCTTAATATTTTTGTATAATTTAAGACATACCTTGTTGGGTAGAAGAAACATTGAGCTACTTTATAGCTTTATGTATGAAAATTGATTTTCACTTTTATAATAGTGTACTTTTAAAGTTATTTTATTAATTGCCTTTCTTTAATCACCTACTTGTTTACTGCTGGAATATATAAATTGTATCTATTATATTGTAATTTTTATGGTTAAGATAAATCAGTTCCTAAGCACTGATTTCTAATAAATCTTTCCAAATGTTATGATTTACAATAGTTTCATTTTAAATGTCTCATATTTTAAAGTTTTGTCTGTTTTTAACTCTTAATTTATGAAATAAAAAGTCAACTTTCTGGAATATCTTAGAATCACCTTTTAGTTCACCCTTCATGAAATCAGAATTTGTACAAGCTTTGAAGATACACATGAGTATGTTTTATGTGGTTATGGGGGGCTGTTAAACTATTATGTAGAGAAAAATGTTAGGAAATGAGGTGATTTTTAGTACCCTCATGCAATTATTTAGATCATTATCATTACTGAAAAGAAACTTTATGAAATTAGCTGACAGCCAGAAACATCATTCAAGAACATGATAGCAGTTAACTATATTTAAAATGATTAATTGTACATTTTTGGATCACAAAATCACCTCCTAAGTAGAAAGGAAAAGCTGCCATATTTTACACTCCTGAACACGGGCCCAAATACTTAAAAGTGAAAGACCTAAGTTAATATTTTTGGATGAGAGCTTTGCATGGTGAACTTGAAGTTTACTCCACCTGCCCATGAAACTTCTTAATCTCCTTTCATAGCCCACTTTTTTTTCTAACACCTACCCCTTTTCTTTCATTCCAGTAGCTATAAAATTTGTTTCCCCAGAATGAGTGAATATGTCTCTTGTTCTTCTTTAAAAGAAACACTTATGAAAGTGTTTTGGCGCAAACTGTCAATAAAACAACATCTGAGTATATAATAGGGTATGTTTTTCCTCATGCTGGTCTTTCCCAGGCAGGTGTCCTTAACTTCCTTTAGAAAGCCGCTGCATCTTTTATAGGTTTCTCCAGTTGTTTGTTCGAGACACATAGGGGCCAGACTTCCAAAGCCCACTTTTATGCAGCTGCCAGAAATCTCCAAATCAGTTAAGAACCACCTCTGTCAACAGTCATCTTAGGTGTCTTGGCTCGGATCTTAAAACTGCCCACTCAACCTGTTATTTCATTACTATCATCCACTTCCAGGAACGAGTCCACAACTGAGTGGTGGTACTTTAATTCAAAATCAACCTCTTAAGGGGGAGAATTATTAAAAGCATTTAGCTAATACAAGTGCCCTATAATATCTGTTGTTATTGTTAAGTGCCGTCGAGTCGATGCTGACCCATAGTGACCCTGTAAAGGGTTTCTGAGGAGCCGTTGGTGAGCTTGAACCACCAACCTTGCTGTTCAAGTGGCTTTGCAGACTGGCACATTAACCCACAGCGCCACACCAGGACTCTGTTAGAGTCCTTTAAAATAACTTTTTGAAATAACATTGAGTTCATTTATATTTAGTTTTATCCTTATTGCAAACTTGTGATGTGTACAAAAACAGGTATTAATCCCATTTTAGAGATGAGCAATAGAAGAAATAATAAGGTTAAAAGACTGATCAAATACTTGAAGCAGCTTGTTTGTGACAGTCAGATCAGAACTGTGCTTTCTCCTGGGCTCCAACAAGCATCAGTATTAAATAATATCAAATAACGATAGATTGGCATGTGATCATTTGAATTCTGTTGAAGTGTAAAAGTAACTGTTGTCTTTTTTTTTTTTTTCTTAAATATTTTATTGTGATAGTTTACATGGGAAAACATTAATTTTACATTCATTCTATCGTAGATCGTCTCATTGCCATGGTTACAATCCCCTCCATGCATCATCAACCAACCAAAGGGTATACCTTGCAAGCCTGCCCCCTGTACCCCCCAGGTCTTCAGCACACAGTCGTTCTCCCTCTCTGGATCTAAAGTCTCCAGCTGCTCCATCACTCCACGTCATCATCTCTGCCTTCATTTCAAGCATCACTGCTTCTCTGGGTAGGGTCCCACTCTCCGCTCTTCTCCCTTGATGGTCCTAGGGACCTCCACTCCTAGATTGAAAAGTTAAATCACTCCCCTCCTTGCTATAAAATGTCTACCTTTACATTTCCAACCTTCACAATTAGCCCTGATAACAATTATTCACTGTTGTATCACAAGAGACCCGTCTGCATTTCATTGCATCAGCCCTGTCTAGTCAGATTGAATACTACTCACTGGAGAGTCTACCTTCCTCCAGGCCCCCTGG